TACAGGCTTGAGCCACCGCGCCCGGCTAAACATGATTTCTCACAGTCTATCACAGTTGCCATTCCCTTTGTCTCTTACTTATACCAAGTAAGCCCATTTTACACTAGGTGTCACACCCACTTGGCTAAATGTTTTGCCTAAGGACATACTGAAACAAAAATATAATTTATACTGCAGTCAAAACTTCATATCACTTGAAGGCTCTGCTAAGAAAAGTTGGAGATAATCACTGGCCAAAAAACCTCCTGACAATCCATTTGTTATTCCCCGAATACACCTTGTACCTTCTGACCTCTACCTCTGCTGGTACTGTCTTCTACACTAGGAGCTCTGAAAGCATGATCCCTGGGATAGCAACATCAGCATCACCTGAGGAAATTTTTAGACGTGCATATTCTCCACATGCGCTGAATCTAATGAAGAATCAAGTCAAGAGGCAGGGCCTAGCAATCCATGTTTTAGCAAGCCAGTAGTTCCGGTGCACAGTAAAGCTTGAGAACCACAGTTCCACACTTAAGAGTGCCTTGTTCTGATCTTTTTTCCCCCATAATGGGCTGCTTCCACTTCAGGACAATTTTAAATATCCTTCATAAACTGTTTCTGCCTTCATTGCCACTTAAAAACACAAACCCTGCACACAGCAACTTGTACATATCAGAAAGGATTACAGTCACATCGCATAAGAGTGCTACAGTTGTACATTTCCTTCCCCAGTAAGCCACCCTTCAACTAGATTATGAACTTCTTATATATATTTTCAGAGTTTGGTACTAGCAGGTATCAATCATTGTTGATTATTACATCAAAATACAAGCAATCTATGTTTTATAAGAAGATGAAGCTACCCTAAGCAGTTTGAATTTACACACTTACTGAAAATGTAGTCTTGACTTTATCTAACATACTGACCTTAGGGGCTTTTTCAGCTTTTAGCTTACGAACCACCTCCCCTTGCGCAGCAACTTCATCATACAGAGATTTACTTTCCAGAATACTTGCTGATGAATTAGAAGAAATATTCTGTCCTATTTCAGCAGGAGGGTTTCCAGGTTTATATTCCTGGCCAGTTTTCTCCTTATATTCAGCTTTCAAAGACAAAAGCTGTTTTACAGCTGCATCTATATCTTCCTTTGGTGCTTTCTTGGCTTTTAATTCACGAACCACATCCCCTTGAACAGCCACTCTATTGTAAAGAACTAAGGAATCCTCAGATGTTGTACAAGTATTATTCAGAGAAGGTGTTGGTTTTTCCTTAAAAGGAGCAGATGTCTACCAAGAGAGAAAACCAAAAGTAAAATAATTAATTCGTATTAAATGTTTTCCCACAAAATTATTTCAAACTGGTTGTTTTATAATGTTTCCAATTAAACACAAAAACTTTAAACTTGAATCCCTTAAAAAGCTTAAATGAATAATCTCATTCCTAAGTATTTATCCTAATGAAAAATGACAGGAGTAGACAAAGATAGAGGTACACACATATTCACTGGAGCATTTTTACTATAGTAAAAACCTGGCCGGGCGCGGGGCTCAAGCCTGTAATCCCAGCACTTTGGGAGGC